CCGAGCAGCTGGCTTGGGTAGAACGGTTTTAGCCACCTGGTCCCACGGTATGAAAGATGCGTACGCTGCGCCGGAGAGTTGATAGCGGAACGTGATATTCATCAGCGCTTTGATGCCCCAATGCATCCCGAAGGCCGAACCCGCCCAGGCCTGACCAACCCGGCGGTGCGCGAGCGCGACCGGAGCGAGCAGTTCAATCGCCAGCGACGGAGCCGCCGCCATGCTCCACACCGGTTTTTGGTCGTAGAGCTTGATGCCCAACCCTGAGGCATGAGACCCCAAGACCTCTTTACGTAGCCCGTCGGCCGCGACTTGGCGACGCAACGAATCGCCGGTGGCCCAACGCCACCCAAGTGGTCCCTTGACCTTGGCAACACCCGACAGCCAGTAAATGACGGTCGTCAGACGTGTCATCGTCGCGATCGCCTGCTGGTACTGCCACGCCGGTGTTGTATTCGCGAGCTCGGCACGGCCACGTCGTGCGGCGTCTACGCTCCAGGCATCGGAGGACGGTGCGACGCCTGCGACGCAGGTGTGCAACACCAGCAGATTGTCCGAATGGAAAATCATCGACCACGAGTTGCGGTAGCTCAGAGTCCAGGTCAGCAGGGCTGAATGGACTGGTCCGGTGACGCGGTGGGCGATGCCCGCGGTGAACGCCGCGGCAGCCACCAACTCGGCGGCAAATAACGTATCGGCGACCACTGGGTGTAGTGGTCTGCGCAACGCTCGCACCGGACCCACTGGCGCAAACAGTGCCGGATCAGTTCGGTGCACCTGCCGAAACAGTTTGGTGCGTTTACCCAAGTAGCGCAGCGTGTAGCTGCCCAGCACCACCCGGTTGCCGGCCAGTCGCCGGGCCAGCGCGTCATGGCCGTCGTTCATCGTTCCTCCCGTGTCACTGAAGCTAGTTCCCGCACCTTGACTGGTTCGCGTCGGCCAGCGAAAAAGGCGTCGTAGTTGAACGTTGACTTGACCACTCGCACCACCTGGGGATCCTGACCCTGAGATATCAAGGTTTGGAGGGCTTCGCGCGCCAACTCTTCGGCGCCCGTTGATGTCCGAGCACGCTTGGCAATTTGCCGACGCACTTGGTTGAAGCCGCCGGTGCCTACCAGCGAATAAGGGACGTTGCGCTCAACCCCGTCAGCTCCCGCGGCCACCAGATGAACGACGTTGCTGTGGCGGTGACGCTTCGCGCTAAACATCGGGTAATGCGAAAGCGGGAAGTCATCGCGCGGTTTGACCTGCCAATTGCGCAGCACCGGCGACGCGACCACGGCAAGCATTAGATAGCTGCCAAGTGCGCTGATCGCTTTGGAACTAACCATCTGACTCACCGATCCTTGGTTAACTGGGTCGTTCGGCGCTGCACTGTCGTCAAATGTGCGCTTCATGCGCTGACCATCGCCGGGTTGGCAGCGAATAGTTGCGCCGTCGGGCCATCAGCGGCCAAAAGCCGGCCGGGTGGTCCAGACTCGATCAACTCACCATCCCTGAGGTGCCACACCACATCGGCGATATGCACCATCTCTTCGCGGTGACTGATCAGCAGCGTCGTTCCCGACCGCCCCATCACGACTCGTCGCATCAATGCTTGTGTTTTGGGATCGAGATGCGCATCGAACTCGTCGAGCACCAGTACACGGGGGCGCGCCATCATGGCGCGAGCCAGAGCGACGCGGGCTCGTTGTCCAGATGAGAGTCGCTTTCCAGCCTCTCCGACGTCGGTGTCCCAGCCGTCCGGCAAATCGTTGATGACATCGCGCAATCCGCACTCGTCGACCAGCCAGTCGACGTGCTCTTGCGACGCTTTCGAGTCGCGATAGCACACATTGCGTCGTACCGATCCTCGCATCAGCGGCAGGTCGGGGCTGACGATTCCGATTTGTTTGCGCAGCGAATCTAGAGTCACATCGGTAAATTCGACGCCGTCGAGGCGAACTGAGCCGCGATCGGGATCGATCAGGCGAGCCGCCAGACTCATCAATGTCGATTTGCCGGCACCGTTCGGTCCAACGATCGCGACGATCTGCCCTGACTCGGCGACGACGCTGACGTCACGGACCGCTCGACC